TCCACTTATTTATTTTTGCTTTTGTTGCCTGTGCTTTTGGTACCAAATCCAAAAAAAAGTTTTCTTCTAGGAGTTTTAGAGTTTCAGTCTTATATTTAATCCATTTCAAATCACTTTTTGTGTACTTTTGCAAGTGTTTTTTTTTACTCTATAGTATCTTTTGCATTTGGGCAATCCCCTACCTAAGGAGATGGAGTCTGCTTCTCTGCATAGACTATAAAATTGCTAGTAAGGCTCAACTTGAGTTTCTCTTGTAGCTAAGGTGCAGACACTTGACATAGAAACAACTCTTCCGATGTAGCCGCCTAGACTTTTTAGCAGAACCTAATGCCCCGAGAAGAGAGCACCCAGAACCCATCCTGGTGAGGAGAAAGGCTGTGGTAGTAGCTACGTCTTGATCCTGGAGGCAGCAGTGGTCTCTGGTCTCGAGTGAAACTATCACCATATCTGGAGTTGGTGGTCCTGAGGTCATGCTGTGATGTCTGTACCTAAATGGTGGCTGCAATGAAATGCTGATTGGAAGATTGCTATGGCATCATCTTTGGTACTTCCAGCTGTTCAGGTTCCTCATTTGCTTCTCTGGATCTTCCCAGAATCTCCTCAAAAAGATTATTTGAGCTTTTAATATCCTTTACTACTTAAATTAGCTAATTTGAAATATTTACTTCTCAGCCACATAATTGATACCAAGAAAGTGTATAGGCAGTGGGGTCTTCATAGGATCAGCTCTCGTGGCATGAGAGTAGTCCTTTGTTTCTGCCTGGATTGCCTCTGAGCCTTGGTCTCTGATTCTTCTGAACATCTCTGATCTTTATAGTATTCTTTAAATTCATCTCTTTTCTAATTAATTTAAATATATATGGCTTTGGCTATTTGCTGAAAGATGGTGAAAATACTCAAAGATGTAATCGTAACTACTTGCAAGTAGAATCAAAAAATGACAAATATGTTGCTGATTAAAAACATACTTATAAACATTTTTTATTATTTATAGTTTGATGCTAACTCTACAATTTGAACTAATAGAAAAATTGATATCTAGATGTTATTACAAGTTAATTTGTTTTTGTCTGGCAAAAGCATTTGATATTAAAGACCTTAAAGAAAATACTTACTGGATATTTTACAATGAAACAGTTAAAAAATGATTAATTTTATCCCCAAATATTAATGTTTCAGAAATTTTCATCTCTGAAAAATATTTTGGTTAATTTTCCTGTCTATATATATGTCCAAATTTTATGTTCAATTATTACGGGATCATGACAGTTAACAAAGTATCAAAAGATTGCATAGAAATATAATAATATCTGTCCATAAAAATCATTTTGGTTCACACCTTATCTTTTAGTTCTGCAAATGTTATATATTTTAGCAATAAGATCTATAAAAGTTTATATCATCATATTAAAAATACTTTTTTGCTGAACTTCATTATTTTTTAAAAGAAGTGCATAAAATATGCAATATTCTTGAGTAAAATAAGTTTTTTCCTTCACCTTATTGTAGTTCAAATGATATGATGATTTAAATTTCAATTATAAATTTAACTGTATAATTGATCAATTTGGAAAACCCCTCTAAAATATAGAACAAATTGATTAGGCCAGAAATTAAGAATTTAAAGAGTGCTCTCTGCTGCATAAATTTAAGTGTTCAATGTCCTCAGTACTTGCTTATGTCCTCAATGTTTGCTTTCATAGTCACAAATTTTTTTTTTCATGAAGCCATACTAAAAATAAAATATACAAGTATCACATTACCACCAAATTCATGTTTATGAATTGCCTGTCCTTTCACTTCTCTGACTAAATTGTACCATTTTATGTAATAAAAGTACATAATTTTATTTCAGTAAAGTAATAAATATTAGTTACTGCATTTAAGATGCATACTTGAAGAGATAAATGATACTCTTTTAAATATTACTAATTTGCCTTTAATAAGGAATAGGAATCTGTTTCATTTTAATACGCTTGGGAAAAATTCTATTATTTTTTATTTCATGCAACTGGCTTTGACTACTTATTCTAAGTCTAGGTGCAATCTAGATATAACTATATCTTTAGAATACATCTATGTTTCTCTATAACTAAGATTAAAAGTTTAATTAATATATAGTTTGAAGTGTTCTTCTTGAACCTCATAAAATTCTTGAAAGAATATTTACCTCGGTACTTTTTGATGACTTTTTGAGAATCAACATTTATTCTCCAGTAATAATAAATCATTTTTATGTTAATGTGAGTTTTTTGCTAACATTATCATTTGATTTATTAAAGTATAATGTTAAAAACTGATAGTGATTTCTGAACATGTATCTTGAATTTGTAAATTTTAAAATGTAGACTTTTCTCAAATTTTCAAGTAAATTTTTATCTTATTTTACTGATAAATTTTCAGAAAATTTATCAGTGTGTGCTTATTACACAAATGTAGTTAATTAATATCCTTTAATAAAATCACTTTATTAATTTACTATATTCCTTTTTCTTTTTAAAATTTTCAATCCCTGACAAAAAAGATTCCCATGTTCTTTTCATGCAACTCTAGTAAATTAAAATTATAAATATGGTGATTCTTAAACATTCCAATGAAGTTAAACAGTGAAATTTTCTTATATTTTGCAACTTAAATTTACAAGTCTAAGTCAATACTCAATTTCTTTTAAATATTCAAGTGTGCCTAATCATTCAAAAACCTTAAAATTATCCAAATGCCAAATATATAACATATTTTAATGTACAATGATTTTTACATGTTCTGTTTAAGTGTGACACCAAATATTAGTATTTGGCAATTTGTTCATTATTTCTATACTTAATCCCATTCTTCTTAAAATCCCAAACATAGTCACTCAGGATAAAAATAATATCTTGGTAAGTAACTTGGGTGTCATTAGCTGGCTGGGTCTGCTTATCTATCAGGATTTTGGGCTGAGGTTGTTAATCTGGAGCTGTGGACATTAATAGACAGTGTTCATAGCACATAGACTTTTATATCGAGCCCTTTTGTTAATTTTAATATACTTACTGTTAATAAGGCATTCAAAATTATAGTCATAAATGGTGCTGATGCTTTTGCAACCTGAGTCTTCTGAGGTTAAACCCTAATTCTCACATGTTCTCTTCAATTCTATGGCTTGGTTCATGCAAATATAATTATATAAATTTTTAATAAGCTGTTTATCCATTGATTGGATTAAACTAATATATTTATGACCTAATTCTACTTTAAATTATTTTCATAGTATCGCTACCTGGAATATTCATATTTCTCATAAATATGTAAATGGCATTCAGTTTTGATTCTGGGTGCATCTTCTAGATGTGTGAATATGTTTCTAAGATCCTTCTAGTGACATTATTACTAAAATAGACCCAAGTGTTTGTATTGGTTAATTATAATTATGGAAAGGTTGTAACAAACAGCCACAAAATCTCAGTGGTATACAACAGTTAGACTTTATTCAGCTGGACTCTGTGAGGCAACTAAAGGCTGATTGATCTAGACTGGGCTCTGCAGGAAAGACTGGTTATGATCCTGTCTCTCATACTCCCGCTGGGAGCCGTGAGTCTGCCTTGCTGTGTACTTCTCATTGCTGTGGCCAAAATACAAGAAGGTAAAACCAGTTGCATAAACACTTGGAAGGCTCAGCCACATCATGCCCACTAGCATTCCACTGGTGATGTCAGGCGCATTTTCCATTTTCCAAAACACTGCAAGTGATGATTTCGTCATGTGTTTCACCACTAAATAACACATATCACCATTTTTCCAGCTGCTTATGTTTTATCACCATTTTTCCTGTAGCATCCCCCTTTTAAGTATTGTTTTCTGTCAGTTATCTTTAGCTGCAGAAAAAAACTCAACAGAACAACACACACACACACACACACACACACACACACACACACACACAACCCATAGAATTCAGTTGCCTAAAACAATGATTTATTTTGCCCATGTGTATACAAAAAAGGTGGGCCAGCTCGGCTCGTCTCCATAGTAAGGTTGGGCTCAGATCTGCTTTATGTTTTTATCTGGGGACAGCATTTCCTCAGGGAAACTCTTTTCACAGTGATGGCTGAGACATAAGAGAAGAAGCCCAACCACACAGATTCTTTTCAAACATCTGAGTCTGTCATATCTGCTAATCTCCCATTGTCAAAGCCTAGAAACAAGGGTTGGGGAAAGCAACTCTGTCCATTGAAGTAGAGAAAAGAGATTGAGCATTTTTTAACAATAATCTGATGCACCACACAGATGAGGATTGACCATCTGCAAAGGTCGATATATGCTAATTACAACCAGAAGTAAACAATTATTTCCAGTGACTCACTCTGATAGACATATGGGCATACAAAAAAATCAATAATTGAGATATTAAAGGACTGGATTTCAATCCTAACTCTGTCATTTGTTGTACAAATGGATAAATTAATTTCAATTATTTTAAATAAAGATCCCAGTGAAATTGCTTCATTAAAACAAAACTGCAAATATTTTTTAAAAAGTATTTTTATATCCCCAGTAAATGATTGATTTCTTAAATTATTATGTAGACTCCTTGGCATTCTCTTTCATATCAAAGGATTCTTCTTTCATATATAGTCACAGTATGAGGTTGGATAAAAGCCATGTTAAAATTAGAAATATATATATTCATATTCATATTGTTTCCTTATATAGGAGGGAAACAATATGAGTAAGAGAATGAGAGAAATGCATGAATAATACAGGAGAAAGCAGGTGGAAAGTCAAATATTTTGATACTGGCGACGTCATATGTTTAACCTACTCTAATGCTAATTGACAGAATAACAAATTAAACCGTTTTATTCAATATTTGTAATTTTTAATAAGCTAGAAAAATTTTTCTGTGATTATAATGGTCATATACAAGTATAAAAATAAGGAAAATAGGAAATCAAAAATCGATGTGTTCCTAAAATTTTTTTTAAATTGTAAGTCTATTTTGCTTTTAATTCTTTATTTAGACTGCGCTCATCTTTGGAAGAAGAAATAGAACGACTGGAGTCAGCTTTGTCTGTATGGAAATGGAAATATGAAGAACTGAAAGAATCAAAGCCAAAAAGTCTGACAGAGGTATGGAGGCATACTATGTAGAGGAAAAAATGAAACTGACAGTTTTCTCTGTTCAGATGTGTAACCTATTAGGCAGAAAGCTCCATAGACAGGAGGAAAAGTAAAAAATTGAATTTCCTCCACAAGAGGGATATTTTAACTCATATGTCCATGTGAACTCAGTTAAACTCAACCCATAAGGGATCTTGTTCTAAATAACACATACTTTTAATGATCAACATTACACGATTAACTGTCCATTCCAGGCACATGTGAGGGGAATGCTAAAGAGGTCATCACACCGTAACACTAACAATAAACTATTTTATCTTATTCTTTTCTGTGGCAGTCTGAAAATACCAATATATCTCAAGTGCACCTAGGTTCTTTTCATACTGGCTTTATGGATCATTCAGGATCAGCAACTTGCCTTTATACTTTTCCTTTGCATTTTCATCAATAAAATGCTGTCACTAACCTTTCCCATTTCAATGATTTATTAATATTCATTGTTAAAACAGTATTAATTGCGCATCTTGTATGTACCAAAGCATTGTTCTAGGTAAGCATGTGGGATAGAATAATGAGCAAAGAAAAGAAAAGTCCTGACAAAATGATGACAAGCCAAATGCTTCAAATGAGTCAACACTTAGTTGGGTGTATATATAGTGTGTTTATTTATATATGTATTATATTAATTATATACGATGTATTATATATTATATATTACATGTATATATATACACACACGTGTATATATCGACACATGCAAAGCATATGTATGCTGACCAGCTGTCTAAAAGAAGGTGAGTCTCTAAACCAAGTATGTAATTGTGCCTTAATCAGAAGCATTGTTCCATCCGTTGTTAAAAAACGTGGTAAGCGGTATTTCTTTTTGTTTATGAAATCCCATATTAATGTTGCTTCAGATTTGTTTCCAGCAAGTGGTAAAGTTTAGAGTCATTACGTTTGTTGAACTCACATGAGGAACCTTACTTGCCAGCATAAGCCTGACTTATGAGTCACATGTGGGCGTTCTGACGTCCGTGGAATATAGTAATGATCATGCACTGGCTCAGAAATAGTCAGCTATGTTAACACAGGGGACCCCTGAGATTTAAAATGAGGAAGAGCTTTTCCTAATATTATTAAGCAAATATCTCCTGCTTAAAAATCATTTATTAACAAAAGATCATTTCAGTGAGAGCCACAGACATTTAGTTTGAGAACATTTCTCAGTGAGGGCTAAATTAAACAAAGCTAACAAGCCACACAGTTTACCTCTCCTTTATAGATTCACGTCAGGTTGTCAGAGTTGTTTTGTTTTTAGCTCAAGCTTTCGGTATATGTATATATATATGTATATGTATATATATGTGTATATATACACACACACACACACACACACACAATGTATGTGTGTGTACACATACACATGCATTTATATATGGATTCATAGTATTATTATTCATGGTATAAATTCACAGTATTTATATTCACAGGTATGTAACTGAACATGATGTCTCTGAGTGTGAACAAGGACAGTAAATTAATGTTATACAGGAAAATAGTTCAGATTACAAGAATCATATGTGTTTAGAGTGTATGTGTATTTGCCCCTATAATTTAATGGGCTCTAAATTTGAGAAAACTAATACTGAAGATAGAATGGGTTTTAAATTTAAAATAAATGTGCACTTACTATCTCTTGCCACTAGTGGACACTGCAGACTTGACAACATTGGTTTCTTAATGCTTTTTTTTTTTCAAGTAATTTAACATTTATGTAGCAACTGTTTTTGAAAAAAGGCATGGTTTTGAGTTGGTTTACAAAGGATATGTATATTTTAAATATTTAATGTTTTATATTCAAAGATGATATTTTGGACATTAAGTGGGAACATGTCTACTTTAACAAAGCTTTATAGATGAGAAAAAATAAAACCAATATAGCATTTTACAGTGTAAAATAGGTCTACATTTTGATATACATACAGAAATATGTATTAGTACATATTAGTTCATTAGTACATACATGTGATCCTTTTACTAGATAAAATTATAGAGGTTTTGGAACGGGGGAAACGTCAACATTGTTGTGAAAAATTTGTTCAACTATTTAAACTTTGAGCACATGTTTCAGTTTAATGAACTACAAATTTGAACACTGAGTGGAAGTGACAATTAATAAAAAAAGTTTTATGGAAAGTTAATTTTAACAGAGGAAAAAAACGTTGTTTGATTTATTTATATGAGATTACTTTTTAAAATCTCTTTCTACTCCCTAAAAATGTAATTTGTGATAATCTTTAAAGCCTTTTTGAAAAGATGTGATATGCACATATGTTTAAATTATTTTATAAAATATTGTGGAACATTTGAAAATATTTAAAAACTGAATAAGTAAAAATACTTTGTCACGTAATTTTTATGTATACTTTGCTTAATTGTTTTATCATAGATTAGAACAAGAAGAATTTTATGGTACCTTTAAGATGGCATTGTAGAGTAATTATAAGTGTAAAATATTCAAAGTTTCTATTCAGTTGATTGACAATCTGGAAATATGTCATGATGTATCCTTTGGAACTTCATGTGAATTCTCTTTTTTACTCCATTCCTCAAAAATTATGATAAGTGTCTTTCACTTTCACTGTAGCTCCTTATCTATAAAATATTTTTGAATACAAATGTAATTCTGTTTTAGATACCTGAAACTGTTACAAGCAAATACATGCCTGGCTCGGAACTGCTGATAGGAAGATTAGCAATTTTTAGAGATGGAAACAGATGTGCTTAATAGACTAAGGTTTTTAAAAATGTATTTGAAAATCTGGCATCTTTAGAGGGAAATCATTCTTAAATCACTGACATTTAGCGAAGAGTAAATATAAGAACTTAATTGTAAAATCTAATATGTATTTAAAACACAACCAAGACAATGAGTAGTAGAAATGATTATATTCCAAATGCTATTCCCATGCTGAATTTAATACTTATTCAGGTTTTCCTTTGCACATGTGTAAGTATTGATTTGGAATTACAATATGAATTCCAATTTTTTGAAATGGTTATTTTCATGAAATCTCATGATCTGGAGAATCGAATATTTATGGAAGTAATATTGATTACAAATAATTATGGTACTTTTGCTTTAACAATAAATGACTCTGATTCTTTCCATAATGGAAGATATCTTACCATATATGGACAATACTGCTAAGATTTTAAAATTGGTCTCAAACTGAAAAATGAAATGTAACTTAGAAAAATGAAATGTAATTTGTCTTTGAAAATTTTGTACTCTTACTGGAATTTTTTAAAGGATTTTATTGAGGAATCTTCTCTCTTTTTGTGATAATAATGTTTCTAGTAATTTGTAATTTACAATGTTCTTTTATAATATTTATATTAAATACTTATAGAGACAGGCTTTGTGGGGCCGTATATGGCACTAAAGGCGATCAATAAAGCCTTATCTCAAATACCTCAAAACACTTTTCTGATTTTGGGGAAATAGAAGGTTGGAATTAGGATTATATGTAGCTAAAACTACACTATTACCTTTAATTTTTTCAGATATAAGATTTTTTCTAAATTTTTCTTTCTTTTATTTATTTTTTACTTGAAGTTTGGTTGAAGATACCTTCACTTTTTTTTTTTTTAAGTTTTATTTATTTATTTGAGAGAGAGAATGAGAGACAGAGAGTACAAGAGGGAAGAGGGTCAGAGGGAGAAGCAGACTCCCTGCTGAGCAGGGAGCCCGATGTGGGACTCGATCCCGGGACTCCAGGATCATGACCTGAGCCGAAGGCAGTCGCTTAACCAACTGAGCCACCCAGGCACCCGATACCTTCACTTTTTAAAAGATTATGTCATTGGACACCTAGGTTGCTTCCATATTTTGGTGATTGTAAGTAATGCTGCAATAGATGGAAGGATGTATATATCTTTGTGAATTATTATTTCATTTTTTGGGTAAATACCCAGTAGTGTAATTGTAGTATCATATGGTATTTTTATTTTTAATTTTTTGGGAAACCTCCATACTGTTTTCCACAGTGGCTGTACCAAATTACATTTCCACCAACAATACACGCTCCAGGAGCGACCTCTGGAGTTTTAGGCAAATAGCTGGCCATCCACAGGGATGGATGCTTTGAGTAGAGAAAAAAGCTCCCCTCCCTTTACTACTTACCATAGTCTACATGATTTCACTTTTTTTTTTTTTTTTTTAATCAACTCATGGATACTTGTTCCTGTGCTGGCTGGGGTGATTGATCCTGACTACCAGGGGGAATTTGGACTCGTGCTCCCCCATGGAGCTGAGGAAGATTGTATCGGGAATGCAGGAGATCCCTTAGGGAGTCTTAGTATTAACATACCCTGTGATTAGGTTGATGGAAAACTACAACAATCCAATGCAGTCAGGATTAGTAATGGTCCTGAGCCTTCAGGAATGAAGGTTTGGGTCATCCCACCAGGTAAAGAATCATGACCATCTAGGTGCTTGCTGAAGACAAAGGGAAGACAGAGTGAATGGTTGAAGGAGATACAACCAGGTGGCCAGTCATAGAAATGACGACTGTAAGTGTCATGAGTATTTCTTCCTTGTTTTGCTGTGGATGTGCCTGTCTCTCTCCCTATCTATCTGCCGGCAGAAACCAACACTGTTTATCTCTTTATATCTTTGTTTTCCTTCCTCTCCGATTCCCTATCATTAACATGTATTGCTTTAATATCAGTATTTAAGCATTATTAATTTTACTTCAGAGTATTTAACTTATGGGATATCAGGGGAAGAGTAAACATTACTCAGGGACTTTACCTCTTCTTCTGAAGAAGGATTAGTGCATTTTCAGTTCTATGCAGAGAAGTTGTATCATGTTAGATGGAATTAAGACCTTGTTTTTGTCTTTATGTGAAGATTAAGTGTGGATGCATATGGATGCCAAGCTGACAAACAGTTGTGATGTGATGGTTAATTGTGATGGTTAATTTTGTATGTCAGCTTACCTGGG